GATTTCTTCGATGTCCAGGGGGTCTTACAAATAAGCCGCCAGCTCGATGAACTTTTCCTCTCGGAAAAAGAAATTGAAACCCCACTCGGCATGGACGATATCAAACAAAGGTGGAAGTGGGCCGATGTCGGCTCTTGTCGAATGCCCCGGTCACCCCTGACATACCCAGCAATCATGGTGGACGAAGGGAATGGAATCCGACGCCCCGCAGCCAGCCAGCTACTACTACTACTACAACTACTACAACAGCCCCCTTCACCTTGAAAACTCCTTCAAGCTCCCTTCAAGCCTCCTTCAAGCCCCCTTCCAGCCCCCTTCAGCCCCCCTTCAAGCCCCCGTGCCCCCTTTCAAGCCCCTTCACCTTGAAGCCCCCTTGAACACCCCTTGAAGCCCTTTTGAAGCCCCCTTTGAAGCCTTGAAGGTCTCGACTTTCAAGCCCCCTTCAAGCCCCCTTCAGCCCCCCTTCCAAGCCCCTTAAAGCCCCTTCAACCCCCCTTCAAGCCCCCTTCAACCCCCCTTCAAGCCCCCTTCAAGCGCTGTTCAAGCCCCCTTCGTGCTTTCTGAAGCCTTCACGAAGGTCAGGCCCCTTGAAGCCCCCTTGAAGCCCCTGCAAGCCTTCTGAGGTGAAGGGTGCTGTCAAATTTAGTCTTCGGATCCTTCCTGCCCTTTTGGAGCAACTCGTGGCCTGTACTTGCTCACCACCAATTTCTATGACGACTACATATTAGCCTCCTTGCCAGGAAGTGTTGAATCTTCCAAAAATGCGACATGCTGACGGGCTGGCAATTTGCAACTGATGGACAGAAGAGCACAATGTTCGACAAGGTTTGCAAAGCTCTGGGAGTGGAATTCGACCTCTCCCGCTCAGGTGAACGCATACTGGCTATAAAGAATACTGAGCAGCGTGTACGAGACTTGAAGGCCTTGGTGGTCTCTACTACTTTGCAAGCTGGCACCCTTGGGAAGAACGAAGCGTTGATGCTATGAGGGCGTTTGGGTTTTGCAAGCTATCCGAACATGCATATGGTCGCTCGCCAAAGCTGTCGCGAGAGTTGACCCTTGCACTGAACATGATGTTACATCGCTTGGACTCTGGAAAACCCCGAGTGATATCTGCGAAACCTTTAGCTCAATGGTTGGTTTACACTGATGCTGCCTATGAGCCCGAAACAAAATCTGCCGGGTTGGGCGCCGCACTCTTCAACGACATGGGTGCATGCTTAGGTTGGTTTGGTGTCCCGCTGGACAAGGAACAATGTGCAATTTTTGGAGCAATGGAAAAACCGACCACCGCCTACGAGCTTGAACTTCTTGCGAGCATACTGGCCCTCGACGTTTGGGCATCCTCCAAAAACACTGGCTTGCAGGTTTGCTTTGGCGACAACAATGGTGCGCGGTTTTCATTGATCAGAGGGTCATGCCTTAGGCGTCCTGCAGCACGGCTCATGGAATACCACTTGTTGCGCGAGGCAGAGAATAACTTGTGTACTTGGTTTGCCAGAGCACCAACTGAAGCGAATATATCAGATTATCCTTCGAGGAACATGCCTCAAGCCTTGTTGGAATTGAAGTTGGATGAATCAGCAGCTGCGTCGATTTGGTTTGACAGCCTCGCCAATACTTTGAAACTGGGACAGGCTGAAAGAAGCGGGGAGTGCAGACAGCCTGGTCCCACTTGACAAAAAAATAGCTTTGCGACTGCCTTCAACACATGTGGCCAACGCATGAGACCAGACGTCGCAGTTGATCTTGATCATCAAGTTGTCTTGACGATTGTGTTTAGAAATTCTCAGATTTTGGGTCCCATGCAATTTCATCCGAGACTTTTGAATCAAGGGAGGGTGCGGTGGGAGCGCTGTGAAATTAATCCAAACGCACCCACCCACAACCACCCATTTTGGATATTTCACGGGCCAAGCCCTCAGCCTGCGCAGCCAGCCTGGTCCCACTTGACAAAAAGGAACTTTGCGACTGCTTGCAACACGCATGAGACCAGATGTGTTCTGTATTTGCAGATGCCAAGTGGATGCAAGTTTGAGAGGGTGCTGATCATTTTCCGACACTTAATGTCTGAGACAATTTGCTCCTCAAATTTCAATACCGTACTTGTTTGCCAGAGTCTTGTGAGCGCGTATTTTTTTTTTGCAACCTCAAATTCGGTTAAAAATCTGCCTGGTTTTCAGAAGTCACGTTGGCGAGTTTGGTTGGGCCAAACACTTGATGGGTAACAATATTCACCCCGCTTCGCGTGGGGTGGCCGCCCACACCGCAGGTTTAGTTCGGTCCGTGAGAGGGGCTACGGGTGGTTTTCCCCCGTGGGGGCTCCCCAAGCTAAGAATTTTCACCCCCCCGTGGGGGCTCGCCAAGCTAGGGAATTTTCACTTTTTCCCCCCGTGGGGGCTCCCCAAGCTAGGGAATTTTCACTTTTCCCCCCCGTGGGGGCTCCCCAAGCTAGGGAATTTTCACTTTTCCCCCCCGTGGGGGCTCCCCAAGCTAGGGCGTCCCCAAGCTAGGGAATTTTCACTTTTCCCCCCCGTGGGGGCTTCCCAAGCTAGGGAATTTTCACTTTTCCCCGCCGTGACAGCTTCCCAAGCTATGGAATTTTTCACTTTTCCCTCCCTTGGAGGCTCTCCAAGCTGCGGAATTTCAAATAGCTAGACAACGACGCCTAGATAGTCCCCCAAATCCCGTGTTCTTTGAATGTGTTTCCATGTTTTTGCAATGGTTTCCTTCAAAGCACGGTACTTTACACTTTTGTCGCCATAAAACCGGTCGAAAACATCATGTTCGACAATGCTTCCAATTCCCTTATCTCCCCAACCGTTGAAAATACCGCTATTTACAGTGTTTTCTTCAATTTTTCCATGTTCCAATGCCGGTAGCCAACTCCAACATATATATAAGAAATCCTTCCAAAACATTGTTTTTGACAGTGTTTTTCCAATGTTTCCAGTCAAACAGACGGTAATTTACACGTTTTTTGCCATAAAGGCAGTAAATCCTTCCAAAACATTGCTTTTGACAGTGTTTTTGTAATGTTTCCAGTCAAGCATACGGTAATTTACATGTTTTTTGCTATAACGTCAGTCCAAAACACTTGTTTTTGCAGTGTTTTCAATGCTCTGGCATTCAAAAACCCTGCAAATCTTGCTATGTACAATGTTTTTTTCATTTTTGGCCGTTTTTCCATTGCCAGAAAGCTACCAAAATGACCCAAAATTCCATTTCAATACCCTCTTGCGCTCAGACACCCAAAAATCCTCGAAAAATGTCGAAAACACCACCGTATTCTGGTCTCGGTGCGAAACCGTTTTTGGCCCCCCCCCCCAGCTAAAGCTGATATAGCGACTGCTATCTTAACAAATGTCATTGAGCATTTAGTGTTGCTGTTTTGCCCCCCAATAAGCACGCCTTCACCGCCAAAGCGGTGTGGGCGGATTTGACCTACATACCCAAACAGAAGCAGCTTCCAGAAACCAACTCAAAAACAATGTGTGAAGGCTGATGGAGGAAAAATGGGAACCATTGCCTTTGAGTGTGTGGTGGGTTCGCTGCTGACTCGTTGATTGCTAGATTCCACAGTCATCTACGGTGTTCACTGGGTGACTTCATTTGGGAATGTTCTGAAGAGAATTTGGATGAACTGGGTGACTCAATTGGTCCATCATGTTTAAGGATTTGAATATATTTTTTTTGACCTTTCATTTTGTGTTTTGAACCGCCATAAACGCATATAAGTCCCCAACCACTAGTTACATACCAAAACTAAAACTCATATTGAGGGCAAAAACTAGGGTTTCACGAAACTTAGCACACTGGCTGCAAATTTTGGTTGTGGACCTCATTGATGGAACGTGACACGGTTTGAATGTTGTTTTTTTACAGTGGTGCCATCGGATTCTTTGGTCCTGCATTTCTACTTATACATGTATAATTATGTATATATATACACATAATACATAGATACATACATACGTACGTATGTGCAGATCGATAGATGGATGGATGATGGACAGATAGATAGATAGATAGATAGATAGAAAGATCGATACATAGATAGATAGATAGATAGATAGATAGATAGATAGATAGATAGATAGATCGATAGATAGATAGATAGATGGATGGATGGATAGATAGATAGATAGATAGATAGATAAACAAATAAATAGATAGTTAGCTAGCTAGTTGGGTAGGTAGGTAAGGTAGGTAAGTAGGTAGGTAGGTAGGCAGGCAGGTAAACAGGTAGGTGGGTAGGTAGATAGATATATACCATACCATACAATACCAGGTCATGCCATGCCATGCCATACCAATTGATATACACACATCGAATTTTTGTCGTTGTTGTTGTCATCATTGTTGTTGTTGTTGTTGTTGTTGTTGCTGTTGTTGCAGTATGCGTTTCCGGAATCAACGACACGCCGTTGATGTGTTTCTTGTGCAACTTGGCTCACGTTTTTTACTTTCGGGGTGGGCAGCTAATTCCTTTCGTCCTTGAGAGGAGGGCCTAAGGGCCCACAGGGCGGTGGGTTCTTAAATCCGGGAAGTCACCGTTGCAGAAAATACCACTGCTTTGCATTTCAGTTTTGTGAGTATAAACAATTACATCGTCAATGGAGAAAACAATGTTTCCAATATCACAATGGGTGTTCCACCAGTCACCATGCCATCATGCCATCATGCCATCATGCCATCATATCAATCACAAAAAAACCACCAATGAGACAATCAATTTTTATTTACACCTTTATTTTTTTCTGTTTGGGGATGGTGTAGAATGTCTTGGATCTAAGATCGGGGGATCAGATTGATTACAATTTTTTCTGCGACGTAAATCAGATGAAATTTCCATGATCTGTTAGTGGGTAAAACCCAATAAAGATCCCCATACACCCCCCCAAACAGTAACCAACTATTTGGGTGAAAAAATCCTACTAATTACAACCATGAATTTGGTGGATAAATTGCAACGACCTTTGGTTTCAGCATTTCATTGCAGGACAGGCAACGTCTTCAGTCGGGCTGGGAGTTGGGGAACTCAGTTTGGTTTTTGAAATTGGTCCAGTGTTTCCTGAACAGAAACGGCCATGGGATCAAGATGGATCAAGCATTTTCATATGATGTTGGAGTGTACTCAGATGTATGCAGGAGTGAAGTGACTCGTTGAAAGGGACAACGGCAACACCTCGTTCCCTCTTTGTGTATCCCTGTGGTATCCCTGTGACCTGGGCCCTGAGGCCTTCCATGGGCTGTTCGTTTGGGGGCCTTGGCATCAGAGGCCGTTATCCAGTAATCCCCTCCCAAAATGAAGGCGGTTTCCTCTTGATCCATTCCAGATCCAAAATGTCGACACCAGTTTTGCTTCACCACTGTCTGAGACCCCCGATTCTGGCGTTGCTTTCCTTTCTTTTTTTTCACCCTGAAAAAGTCCAATGGGTTTATGTTTTTTTAATGAAAACATCTACAGAAATATCTTTGCCCTGCCAGCGTCGTTTTTTTTGCGGTCCGTTTTCCAATTGTCCACTGCAAGGTCTACCAAGGCGAACCCTGGTATGCCTGGGAGCCAGGTCAGGGGATGATCGAAACGGTGCAATTTTTACTCGGGAAATGAAAATCTTGGTGCCATTCTTTGGACATCTTTGGACATTCTTTCCTTTATGGGCCTAGAAACTTAGATCAGCAGACTCTATGGACTCTATGGCTGGTTTTCAACATCATTTCTTTGATATGATTCAGACATGTTTTGTTGTTGTGATTTGTGTGTGGCCTGTTTTTGCAGTCGTGATTTTGAGATTGTTTCAATATGATTCTGATTTGGGTCAAAATTGTGATTTTGATGTGGGTCAGAGCTGTGATTTCTTTTGTTTAGGCTTTGTTGTGTTTTTTGAACATATCTTGAAACAAATCAGCATCATACCAAAATCGTATCAAAATCATATGAACGTCGTACCAAAATTATCTCAAAATCGTATCAAATTCATTAAAGCCTTCGAGAAATCGAGAAAATCTAGGCCCGGGTAGGCCAACCCACGGGGAACCCTCAAAAAGTCGCTTCGTTCCTGAACCATATGGGTTTCTCACGAAGTGATGTCACCTTCTTGTTTTGAAAGCTGCGAGTTTCGAGCGAACTTTCATGTGAACCCATCTTGCAAGCAAGACGAGAATCTAGCTCTAGCGTGCAGCGACACCAATGCAGATGAAGTTGAAAAGCTCTTGTGTCAACCGAGAATTCCTGACTCCAAAGGGTCAGGCGGCATAACTTCATCTTCTTTTAAATCTTTTTGTGCAAGCAGAGAAATCCTAACACTAAAAGGTCAGATGGCAGGACAGCCTTCCACTGTGCAGCAGAAAACGGCAACTTAGACTGTGCACAATTGCTCCGATTTTTCATCTCAAAGTGGGAGGGCGTGGTGGTATCGCTTTTAACCTTGCAAAGTCTTGGCGTTACATGGAAGGGGGATTTTCGTCGACGCGCCCCCGCGATCAGCTGTAAAATGACTGCTTGATGAGATTTTGCCATGCTGACTTCTTGCTTTCAAGGTCGTTGAATTACTTGTGGTAACGCGCGGCATTTCAATTTCACCGCGCTGGGCAAAGAACTTTACGCTGATGAATGCTTTGGAAGATTCGGATGCTGTTTCTGCAGCCAGCCAAGCTGAAGGTTTCTTTGGTGACGCGGAGTCTCCGGCCTATGAGCCTTCTGAACTTGAAGGGGGCCCGGAAGGGTTTGCGGCTGGTGCTGAGCTTCTGGAAGAGAGTAGCAAAAGAAGACGTTTCAAAACTGCTGCCGAAGGGGCAAAGGACAAAGATTGGCATTTAGATCAATTTCCCCAGGACGGAAACTCTCAAGCTTTGTGTATTCATTTAGCGCGCGCGCAGTTGCAGGCCATGCCGAAGTTGCCATGGGAAACTTCGCCTGTTTTTGGCCCTTGGGGATCACAATTCACTCAGCCTTTCAGGTACCCAGTAGTTGGCAGGTTTGAAGCAATGAACGGGATTGCTGCTGCTTCTTCATCCTTCAGACAGACGCATGCATCAAGACCAGAGTACATTTTGAGACGTCTTCGCCTGGCGGGGCTTCGCAAGACAGAAGACTCAGCCAGGCGCGGGGCCCTTCTCAAGCTTAGGTCCTTGATTTTGCTGGATCCAATCACCACCAACCTCGGCGCCTCGCTCGTGTCAGCAGCGGGCACTCTTGTGGATGAATCGCTGGTTGCTCAAAGCTTCGCCGACGCTTTTGCGCCCAAATCCACAAACACTCTCACAAAACGAGTGTCTGCACTGTGGCGCTATGGGAAGTGGTGTGAAGCAAAGCAGGTGTCACCATTCAACATCACCGAAAATGCGATCTATCAATACTTGTGTTCACTTCGCAGTGAGGGATCATCACCTTCAGCACCTTCCAGCTTCTTAGAAGGCCTGGGATTCTTGCATGGAGTTGCAGGGATAAAATCACTGGGCGACAGACCGAGCTTCTCTGGAAGGTGCAAGGGTCTTGCGAGAGATGAACTCAGGAAAAGGCGTAAGAGGCGACAAGCTTCGCCCCTGTCAGTGTCTATGGTAAGGACCTTGGAGAAGTTTGTGCAACAGGACAGATCACACAAGGCACTCATTGCAGGCCACATTTTGTTTGCAGTTTTCTCCTGCGCACGTTGGTCGGACACTCTTCAGCTTGTGGAAATTACTCAATCTTTCCAAGGGCGAATTGTGTTGATTGAGACAGCAACAGAGCACCATAAATTATCTACAACTGATGAGGCCCGCACTATGCTTCTTCCGTATATCTGCTTGGGCCAGTGCCTAGATAAGGACGGCGAGTGGTCCACCCATTGGCTACATTTGAGAGCCGCCCACAAAGTGGGGAGGCCTTTCATGCCAGTGGCCATGCCGTCATGGGACGACAAGAACCATTGCTTCACTTCAGTGCCTATGTCATCCAGCGAGGCCACCATGTGGGTTCGTGAGATTCTGGAGACCAATGGCTTTTCAAGAGAAGAAATGTCCAAGATCACCAGCCATGCCTTCAAAGCGACGCTGCTTTCCTGGGCAGCGAAAAGCAACATGTTCAGCAGGAGCCAACGAAGACAGATGGGCCATCATTTAGACCCAGAGGACCGGTCTATGTTGCTGTATTCTCGTGACTCATATGCTGGGTTGGCAGTTGGCATACGTCGCATGCTGGATCGCATCGTTTCTGGCAAGTTCAACCCTGATTTGTCCAGGGTGGCGCGGGTCGCCCAGGAGGTGGAACAATTGGATGAGGCTAGCAATGCTTCTTCCTCTTCTTCATCCAGCAGCTCATCCGAAGAATCTGACCCACCTTCACCATCGACAGCTTTGCGGCGCACACAGTTGAGTGCTCCGCCGGAGGGCATTGCTGCGGATGATGTAGAGATTTGCATGGTGCACACCCTCTCTGGCGTAGTCCACTTGTCAGCTTCCGACGCAGTTTTCAAGTGCGGCAGATTGATTACATCCAACTACGTCAGTTGGGGAAGCTGCACGTTCGAGCCGGGAGACACAACTGCCTGTTCCCAATGCTGTCATTGACGTTGCGAACGTTGTCGTTGAGGCGCGAAAAACACTAAGCGCGGTTACCGGCGGTTACCTGTTGTTCTCGCTTTTCTTCTTCATCTCGGATCCTCCCAAGCATTCTGTTGTTTGTGCCAGTCGAATTTGAAACTTCTTTTGTTTTCCTGTGAGCAGTCTGAGCCACCCGGGAATTTGGAGAGCTGAAGCTGTATACGCGGTGTCATTTGCTTGCAACAGGATTTCATACGCAGGTATATATATATATATATTTGTGTTTTTTTTGTTTTGGTTTGGAATGTATATACATACATCTATATACATTGTCTTGGGGTAGGCGGTTTTACCCCTCGAACAAACGGCGCAAGTGCCCATGGCACAGGGTAAACACTTTACCCTTCTCGTGTCAAGCTGGGTCACTCTAACCATGGTGGCAGTCATTCAATCGGGTTTGCAGCAACCATGCTCCAGCATTGCTGCATTCTAGCCCAAATGCAACAGCCTTGGAGTTTCATGCAATATGACGTGAATTTCACTCCTTTGTTGCCTCACCCTGTTGTGTTTTCATTGGCTGCCTTCACCATGTTTCATTTGTGTTTTCTTTTTTTTTCAAAGCACGTTGCACAAATTTCATGCTCATGCACATTGAACTTTGACAATTGCCACTGAGCTTGCGATGGCATCAGCGGAGCTCGATTCCACAGCTGAATTTGAGCGTCGAGCTTTGCATCTAGGAGTGGAAAGAGGCACTGTAGACGCACTTCGGGCCCAGGGGCTCAATAGTTATGGGAAATTTGCATTCTCAGTCCCATATTCACCGGGGCAAACGGATGAATCTCCCCTCTGTGACTTGATTGCTCGCACCATCGGAGCTGCTCCTAGCGACGGGCAGATGGCGGCGTTGCGGAGGTTGTTCTGGGAATCTCATTCATTAGCCCTGGCCGACATTCGACAGCGTTCTGAGCATGGCTCTGAGTCGGTGAGCAAGAAACTCCCTGCCTCGGAGCGAAAAGCTAGAGCTGAAGAGCAGAAGACCCGCCTCACTGGGGTCATCTGGGGCCCTGATAGTGAGCCATCCCATCAACTCGTTGACCGTTTTGTGGCAATGGTAGAGGAAGGAGTGGTCAGCTATGTGCGGCCAGAACTCTGCACTAGCCGCGCTTTGGAAGTTGCGAACACCAAACAGACCAATGCTTTTCATTTGGGACCGGATGGAAATTTGAAATTGAAAGAGAAGGATGTGGACCTTGAATGTCCCATTTCTGGCGAGCTCAGGCTCCGTGAGGCATATCGTAGGAAAGCCTTAGCCATGGATATTGCAGCACTGGTGTCGTATCGCGTCGCAGAAGAATGGCATTCCTATTTGTTCATGGCTCTCCAACGAGAAGTCCCCAAAGGTTTCCGTAGCATTTCTGTGGCTCAGCTCATGGCAGCTGACAAGCGTCTCTGGATTCTGTTGTCGGAGCAAACAAGGGGAGAGGTCCATTCTCGCGCTGGCCAAGACAAACCGTGCGATGCGGCGCTCACCAAGTTGTCCTCATCCCATGATGTGCTCAATTTCCTCATTCCAATTCCAGATGTCTTGGACAGACAGCCTTCATCATCAAGAAGCTCGCCGTACCTCGACACCAGGAGCAAAGGCAAGGGCAAAGGTGGAAAGCAATCGTCTAAGTCTGCACCAGCAACTGAGGCTCCTCTACCTGAGGGATGTTCACTGCAGAAAGCGGACGGCAAGCCAGTTTGTGGATTATTCAACCGTGGCAAATGTTGGCACAAGACAAAGCCGGGGAAACGATGCCCCCGCGGCTTCCACGTCTGCTGGAAGACATCGTGCAACCGTCAGCGGCCGTGGTTCGAATGCACACACACAGACTGACAGTCGGCGGTTGCAGTTTCACCATCACTTGTTTCCTTTGAAACTTCAGATGAGGGCACAGCTACGAGTGGCGGCTCATTTGGCGCCAAAAATGGGGCGAAACATGAGCTATGCAACAATGCGCCTGGCCAAGCCATCGCCGCTGCTGAGCAGCATCTCACCCACGCAGGTTTTGGTCAAGCCAACCCTGATACGAATTCCAATGCGCCAGAAGACGTTGCAACTGGTAAAGCTATGTTTGCGACAGGTGCTCAGAGCAAATCTATTTCCACCTCTGACACAAAACGTCAGAAGCTGGAGGTAGAAGAAGAGGGCATTGCAGCATCGGGCAAAAGACCTTTTTTTGTGGAACTTTTTAGTGGCAGCGGCAACCTTAGTCGGGCACTGGCTGACTCAGGATTCAATGTGGTGGCTATTGATTGGCACAACAGGCATCAGGTGTCCTTCGCTCCCATCGCTTTGGACCTTGCTAGCGATTCTGGTCAAGAGGTCATGTGGATGATGGTGAAGACTTTGAAGCCAGATGCCATTCATGCTGGCGTTCCTCATGGCACGGTGTCCAGGGCAAGAGAAAAACAAATCCCTCACCGGCTTCGAGCCCAAGGGAAGCCACGACCTGCCCCTTTACGCAGCGCTGAATGGCCGTTGGGCTTGCCAAATCTTTCTGCAACAGACCAGAAGCGAGTTTCCCAGGATAATAGATTGTTTTATTTGGTTTTTGAGCTCATTCTTTACAGTGTCGAGCATTCCATTCTGTTCACAGTCGAGAACCCGCGACGCTCTTGGTTTTGGGCCGTGCTGGTGGCCTTTGCAAAGCAGCATTCTCTTTATGCCTGTGAAATTGTCAACAGGCTTTTCACTGTAACTTGGGACGCATGCATGCACGGTGATGTCAGAAAAGCAACAAAAAGAATAGACTGCACGCAGAATGCTTTGCAAGCCTTGGCCGCGCCGTGTGATGCGGCGCATGAGCATGAACCACTCACTGCGTTCACGAGTGATGCTGGTAGATTTCAGTGGGCCTATCCTGTTTTGCTTTGTCGGCGATGGGCCCAGGCTTTGATTGAACATCTGAAAGTGGGCGTCTTGCCACCGCGCCCAGATTTGCACCTCCAAACCACAGCGTTGGGATTCCGTCAGTCCCGCAGAAACCGGCAGCTCATACCGGAGTTCCTCAAGATCTTTGATTTTGACCTCGCAAACAAACCTTTGCCACCTCTCTGCAAAAAATTAGGCCCATCATTACATGGGGAGAAGTCTATGGGCCTTTTTCGGGTAGGCATGTTCCATTCAATGAGCCAATTTGTGGACAAGTCTTTGCTCCTGAAGCACCCGCTGGACACTATGAACCCAGTTCCAGACAGCATCAAGCTTGCAATTTTCAATATTCTTACCCTTGGCTCCCATGACGTTGCGTCTCGGCGGGCCTCTGCCTTGAAGAAGGCGCTTTTGCTGAAGCAGCAGCTGGCGGAAGAGGAAGAGAAATTGCATAGGTCATGGCCGGAGCATAAGCAGATTGTCTTGCGAGGCAAATCCATTTTGCTTTTCCAGAAGCTCTTGCAGATCACTGGCTACGACGATCTGGAGGTTGTAAATTTCATGTTGCATGGTGTTGAGTTGACCGGACATCACAGCAAGCCTGTGTATGCGGATATGAAGGTCGTGCCGGCCACTTCTACCCGTGAGCAGCTGGAGACAGAAGCCCTGTGGCGCCGGAAGGCTTTAATGACGCAGCCATGTGATGTGGACACTTTTGAATTTTTGGACGAGCAGACTCAGGCGGAAGTTACTGCTGGCTTCCTGCAAGGCCCTTTTTCTGAGGAGCAGATTTCGGCTCAGCTTGGTAGATGCGACTGGGTGCTGAACCCTCGCTTCCTGTTGATGCAGGGGCAAGGTCCACAGAAGAAGCCTCGCATTATTGATGATTGCAAGAAGTCTGGGTTGAACAATTCTTTTACTTCTGTGGAGCGCCTTCAACTTCAAGATTTTGATTTTGTGGTGGCTGTTACCAAGCTGCTGGGTTCATGTGTGAAAGACGGCCAAGTCACAATGGCGTTAGCGACCGGGGAAGTGCTGGAAGCGGGGCTGCACCCGTCTATGCGAGGGCAACGTTGGCTCGCCCGAACGTTGGATCTGGCGAAAGCCTATAAACAGATGTGTATCGCATGTTCCTCCCGGCACCTCGCCGTCGTGGGATACCCTGCTCCAAGCACTGATGGCTGGAAATTTTATTTGTCATCATCTATACCTTTCGGAGCAGTTGGAAGCGTATTTGGTTTTTTGCGCGTCGCGCGGGCAATTTGGTTCCTCGCTGTCGTGTACCTTGGAATTCCATGTTGTCATTATTTCGATGACTTTCCACATTTTGAGACGGAATCATTGGCTTCATCATCGCGTTTGGCGTTTGAGGGGCTGCTGAAGCTGATCGGCTGGCGCTTTGCTGAAGGGGAAAAGAATCTTCCCTTTGCGGATCATTTCAACATTCTGGGTGCCACCATTGATTTGAGTTCATTGCCAACAGGTTTCTTCACAGTGCAGAACAAGCCGGGTCGCATGCAACATATTGCAGAGCTGACAAGAAATTTGAAAGAGAGCAGAGCCGCGGCAGACTTGGCAGTGGTACGCGGCCACGTGACTTTTGCATCTGGATTCTGTTTGGGCCGGTTCCTGCAGCCTGCCGCGCGTGAAATTGGCTTGGCATTTGCTTCTTCATCTCCATTGCGCGGCGACCTAATACAGCTGGCTTGCGACAAGCTCCTCAGCCTTTTGGAACGTTCAAAGCCCAAGACTATAAGCTGCTTTCACGAGGGGCCCCCAATTGTGGTTTTCACTGACAGTGCATTTGAAGGTGGGGTTGCGACCGCGGGAGCATTGGTCATTGATCCTTTGAGGGGGCCGCCTTTAGTTTTTGATGGTGTTGTCCCACATGAAGTTGTTTCAAAGTGGATGGAAGCTGGAAGCAAGCAGGTGATCTCCCAGGCTGAGCTGTTTGTCTTAGTTTGCATGCGCGTTGGCTTGAAACATTCTTTTCACCGAAGGAAAGTTCTCTTTTTTGCAGATAATGAAGCCGCGCGCTTCGCAATAATCAAAGCGACCAGCGGCAGTTCTTCCATGCAACAGTTAGCCTCTGCATTTCACGAGTGTGATTGCGAACACGAATGTTTTCATTGGATTGAACGCGTTCCTTCAGCTTCAAACCCTGCAGATTTGCCGACGCGGAATAGGACTAAGGATCTCTTGGACCTTGTTAAGGGTCAGTATGCCGGCAGTGTGCCATTCGATGCTTCTCTGATCAGCATGGTTCTGAGCGCTGCGCATCATGATTTTCTTTTCGAACTTTCCACTGGTGATGCCCCCATCTTATCAAGTTTGAGCCAGTAGCCGCAAAGATTTCAAAGGGGGTGGTGCGATCTTTGCGCATCGCCCTCGACCCAAAAAGGTCCGCTGCAAGTTTCATGAAAGGGCTGCAATCAAGAAGGGTTTCTCACGAAGTGATGTCACCTTCTTGTTTTGAAAACTGCGAGTTTCGAGCGAACTTTCATGTGAACCCATCTTGCAAGCAAGACGAGAATCTAGCTCTAGCGTGCAGCGACACCAATGCAGATGAAGTTGAAAAGCTCTTGTGTCAACCGAGAATTCCTGACTCCAAAGGGTCAGGCGGCATAACTTCATCTTCTTTTAAATCTTTTTGTGCAAGCAGAGAATCCTAACACTAAAAGGTCAGATGGCAGGACAGCCTTCCACTGTGCAGCAGAAAACGGCAACTTAGACTGTGCACAATTGCTCCGATTTTTCATCTCAAAGTGGGAGGGCGTGGTGGTATCGCTTTTAACCTTGCAAAGTCTTGGCGTTACCCGCCGCGCCCGACCCGCCTGCGATCTTTGCGCATCGCCCTCGACCCAAAAAGGTCCGCTGCAAGTTTCATGAAAGGGCTGCAATCAAGAACAAAACAATATTAAAAACCATATCGAAATCATAACCCCCAATCCAATTCGTATCAAATTGATACCTTAAAAACCAGATCAACACCATATTAAAATCATATAAATACTTGTTTCTTGAATTTGACTTCCTAGAGGGATTTTAATATAACCATGGGAACTCATGGAAAATCATCACCTTCCCGCACAGGCGGTTGAGAAAAGCAGCCAGGAACTGCGGCTGCTGGATGAATACTCTGCACCTTGGGAGCAGCCTACGGCGGCGTTCACGGTTTGGGAGATGGGAAAAAACCCACCTTTCTGATTTGGCACAACCGTTCCATTTGGAACCAGTCAAGATATATGTTTTGTTCTTGGTGGAATGCTCATCATCATGATGATAGCAGGTCAGCCACTGTCAGTGGCTAGTCTCCTGCACTCTCCCTTGTTGAAACTCGGGCCAACAATATTCAACGATGAGCAAGAGGGTTCCCAGGGTCAACATGAGTCTTGACCCGCACCCGTAGCCATTTCCCATCCTTCTCCATTTGTACTGCTTGTTCATATCTCCATTTTGTTCCGATGAATCAACCCCTGTTTTGATAAGTTTTGAACGGGAAAAAACTGTTTGATGAACATTCCACAGAAGCCTGCGGGAATTTGGGATAAACCAAACACTAATAATCACTAATATGTACAAGATCCCCCAGCAGCTTCAGCCCAGGTTGGTGTCACCCTTGGTGAAGGGGCCTTCGGGGTCGTCTCAGCCGCTCAGACATGTTTACAAAGAACATGGGTCCTATGTGGAAGTTGGGGCCTGTTACACTTTGAAATTCAGAAAAAATATCGTCTTCCAGAGACCATCTTTAGGTTTCCAGTTGTTGGTCACGAAGCTGCAGGTTTCATGGGGTTTCCCCATGTTTTTTCGTCCCATGAAACGGGGTTTGCTGCAGATTTTCCTTGGATGGTGTAGTATTGGATCCATGCTTTTTCGGCTCCCATGAAAAACAGGTACCGTATTTTGCTCGGGTATGGGAGTATTGATTTTTGGAAGCTTACACTAAAGTACACTGAACTACACTACACCACACCGCACCAAATCAAACTAAGCTAAACTAGACAAAACTAGACAAAACTAGATTAAACTAAACTAAACTAGACTAAACTATAGTACCTATATGTATTTACCTCTCGAAGAATTTTCCCTATCTTTTTCTATCTACTTACCATCTATCCATCTACTGTACCTGAGGTCTGCAAGAGGCGAGCCACCGGAGAGGAATATGCAGCTGCTCGGCCGAAGTGATCCCTGGAGAGCCGCAGCCGTCAAATGCCAAAGGAAGAAAAACATCGGAAAAAACACATCTTCACATCATTTTATATAGTCAGATTAGTCAGATCTATGATTTTTGACTTGAAGCTCTCCAATCGACATCAATCGACCAATATGTTTGGATCGTTGAACAAAAATGGGGCTTGAATTCCCATATCTTCGTTGGGGGCCCCGGTAGAGCCCCGTAGCACTTAGGTGAAGATGGTAGACAAGGCCCGTCCGGGAAACCGGGACGGGCATGACGGGCCGCTTGGGATGGTTGGCCAGAGGACTGAGTCACTGAGGGCCAAACTTGTCTTTAGTGTTTCTGGGATCAAACGGCAAATCTCACTGATAAAAAAGAACAACCGTTTTTGATAATAATCAGTGCTTTTGGCCCAGCCCATTTTTTTTCTGGATTAAACTTAAGCTGCCAATCTCAGAACTTTCTGCGTTTCTTGGGCATCCAAAGGTTTGTTGTTGGTTGGCTGTGCGTTCCCGTTGGATTTAACAACCATTAGGGTCAGGGTATCTATTTAGGTCGCCACATCCATAAACTTTATCGACGTCGCGACATCGATTTCCATTCTAGCCTTTTATAATTTTGTGCTTAATGGTGATAAGCTGGGAAGTGCTTAATCATGTAGCGGTCTACGATCAAATGATGATACATTTAAACCAGTTATCCGTGGGATAGCCCTATATATATATACATATGTATACACATCAAGATATGTGTATCTCTCTCTCTCTATATATATACATATATATATATACACATAATTATTACATATGTATAGATGATTAGAATTGGGAAACTTCCCGTGGAGACGGCTGTCAGGTGGAGACGCCTGTCGAAGCCATCAAGAAGGAAGCCGATGTCTTGCAGAGCATGGCCCGGATACCCCAGGGGTCCCAGGGGCAACGGTGGGCAACGGTGGGGAACGGTGGAATTTGGTTGCCACTGGGGCCAGGATCGCATGAAGGCATCAGTCAAGCCTCATTGCAGTAGTAGGATGATATGGGGATACTGCGAGAAAACCATCATCATGATAAAATCTGTAAATCCAATCTTTTCAGGAAAACTGGGGTCATCAACTTGGCAAAATGTTGCATGGCACCTGGAGCTCAGGATCACCCCAATATAGTGAAGTTTCACGGTGTCTACTATGAGAGGCATGGGATGGGGGAGCCATGGGAGGCATGGGAGACAAAACTCACCAGTTGATGCACTAGCCTGTTGCGAAAGTGGGTGAAGGGGGTCTTAGCTTGAGACTGACACCACAAATATCTATGATTCTAAAGTGTTGTAGATAGATGTATGAAAACGATAGATATCATGTCCATCCATGAAGGTAGGTATCATATCCCTTCATATCCCATAATTCACATTCCATATAGCTTCCTTAGTCATGGGGGTACCCCCAGCTATCATCTATTTTCTGTTCAGATTTTCCATCCGGCTATTGGCGGTAGCCCCATGACTATGGAAACCCCCATATGGCATCGGTTGTATCAGTGGTATCCCAACTGGACCCCTTCACCACTGTGGAGAGCAGGTGCTTTGTTTGTATTGTCATGGACAAGTTGGACGGTGGCGATTTGGTCGAGGGGTTACAACGACACTTGAAGGACACCGCAGGGCCATTTGATGAGAGTGGGATGGGTTGGGCAAAACCCTATTTTATTTATATATATAATTATTTTCTCTGAACTGTACTTGTCTACTTCGAATTCGAAACTTTGAACTATCATCTATTCGGAGAACATAGGCCTCAACAATCTGGAATTTGGTCACATCCTGCAAGACTGGATACAGAGTCCTGGTCCTTCAGGATACCCAGGGTACCCAAGGTACCCAGCACTCAACAATCAGTAGATTATGGTAAATGTTGATGTTGAGCGCTACCTTACCACCTTGGCTGATGTTTCCTCCACGCGCCATGGGATACCGTGGGGTTTGCACAGGAGCGAGGTCAGATTAACTGTATGGACGTGGTACATGTTGCGTGACCTGGCGTGGCATGGTCTCGGCATGATACCTCCATGACCAAAGAGGGAAATAGCCACCTGAGACTGCTGGCCTTGTTTTTGCATCCCAAAAAGCAACGAAAGTAAAGTCCTATCAATATGTATATGTATATATATATATATTATACATGTATATACAGTGAATGAATAAATGAATCAATATATATATGTATATATATATATATATGTATATATATTATATATTATATATATTATATATATTATATATATTATATATATTATATATATTATATATATTATATATATTATATATATTATATATATTATATATATTATATATTATATATATATTATATAGTGGCAAATAGTTTTTTTTTGTGCGCGGGCGAGACTTTGCTAATTGGGAGATTGAAATACAGCATATTCTTCAAATCGTGGACAGGAACTGGTTGGATCATGTTGGTACAACATTCCCATTACATTTGTTCCTTACTGTTCCTGATGAAATTACTGCTTTTTTTTTGCTCATTACAGGTTGAACATTCTCGAGAAAAGCGACCTGCTCAGGTACCAAATGGCAGCATCGATCCACTACCTTCACCAAAGGACTCGCATCGCAGCTTTGGTCATTGAAAAAAACGATAGAAAAGCAGATGTGGGTCAAAACTCAGAAGCTATGTGCGTGTATATGTATATAGATGTATATACATATATATATACATGTATATATATATACATATAATACATTAATACATATATATATATATAATACATATGTACTTATATACACATCTATGCATAAACACATATATGTATACACACCCAGGCTTCATGTTTGGATGAAGAACCAGAATTTCCCTGTCGGTGCCTTGTTTTGGAACATCCATCACTAGACACTAGACCCATACATCACGGGAGTGGGGATAACCAATCTGTGGATCACTTCAGCCAATTGTTGAATTGGTTTTACTACCAGCAAATTCCAGGAATTACAGAAAAGAGTCCATAGATAATTTTTTAGACACTCCGCGAACTTGGGAGTTCTTCACATCTCAAAAAATCTGACGAAACTTGATGAAGTCGTGCCAGGAATGTGGTACACAGAGATGTGAAGGGAGACAACTACCTGATGGATCGAAAGGACTGTACCTCCAGTCGCGGAAAATGTGTTCGATCTGATGAGATCTGATTTCTCTCACAGAAAAATCGGAGAATTTGGATGAATTTTTGGTTAACCCGATGACACGCATCTTTTTTTGCCAGCGGCCACTGCCATTTGGCCACGGCGATGGATTTGCTGCCGCAGAACATGACCGACAAGCAGTGCAAGGTGGTGTTGACCGATTTCGGTACGGTCCGGGGGTTCCCAGTGGCGTGTGATGTGTCGAAGTGTGATGAAGAATGATGATCAAGACTTATTTAGTAGATGGAGTACAAGAACAAGATCAATATTATTCAATCGTTGTAATTAGCTCTCAACATGTACATTATCTAGAAGTTGCAACTCCTACCCTATCCATTGTCGTTTCAAGCAGCTGTTTTCAATCACTTGTGTTTCTCCGGGTGATGATGACTCTTCTGATTTTACTATATATTATCTATGATAAACATGATGATACAATGTAAAACCCTTATTCATCAACCCTGGTCGATTAATTAGGCGTGTACCCCAAAAGTGGCAAATTACCTTTCAACATGGTGATGTGGCAAACCCAATGATGAACCCCCCTTTCGGGCATTGATTTTAATGTTCCTCTGAAGATATATATATATACATACTGTATCCCTATACATATACATATACATATGGGGTCTGGGTTATGGCATTCTGAAAAAGTTCATAAGACTCTTCGTTTTGGAATCACAATCCCTAAATTTAATGGTTCTTTCCCAATTTTCCATGGTCAAACATCGAAATTTCATGGTTCACATCCTAATCTTGACTTAATTATCATATTCCTAAGCTTAACTGGTTAGAATCATCCAAAATCCGATTTTTTGATGGTGAAATTCCCATGTTTGCATGTTTGGATGGTTAAATTCACATGAAATCTCCATGTTGGATGTTTACTGGTTGGTGGTTTCAATCATTTTTAATTCTCCATAATATATGGGTTGTCATCCTTCCCATTCATATTTTTCAGAGGGGTACTGGGTAGGTATACCACCAACCAGTTTAGATGGGTAAGTTCCCATTGAAGTGCCCGTTACCGTAGATGCTGAGGCCTGCACCGCAAACCCCACGGATCGCCTCTCCTCGGGAGCACCTCAGATTTCAACATTCTTCCCATCTTTGTTCTTTGTTTCTATATATTTCTTTCGTACATACATATATATATATAATATTATATAATATGTATATGTATATATCTGATTATATGTATGTGTGTATGTATATATATATATACAATACCGTAATGTAATTTGCGGTATAATATCTTGGATGGAGGATTGAACCAACAATCCAGTGGTGGGAACATCTGGGCTATCATGGGAACATGATGGGAACAGTAATCCTCGAGCAGAGAGAATGTGGAATTTTCAAAATAGTTTGCATTTTCCTGATGATAGATAAACATTTCCATATGCTATTTACTTTATGATATATATATATATGAACAGTGGATTATTGCTACTATCACTCATAGTATTCTATAGTGAAAGTAAGAATTATCATTGATTTGCAGTAGACTATTGTTACTCATCATAGATTATTGTCACTATCATTAACAGTAGATTACTGTTGTTGTCATTGATTAACAGTGATTGACAAAATGAGCCAATTATGGTTGTTGTCATTGATAAAATGATTAATTGTCATTGATTAACATGATTAATTGTCATTGATTTCGTGGGTAGCTTTTCGATTCCCATCTTTACCCACGAAAACGACAAGCTCGCTGCGACCCAAGCAGAGGTGGGGACGAAGATCTTTTGGTCTCCAGAGTTCTTTGATCGTGACTATGGTCAGAAGGCGGCGTCCGCATGGGAAAAGCCGCAAGAATGCTTGGGATATGAAGCATATTGAAGCATGATATGAACCAGAAGTTGGGTCAATTCACTTCCATTCACTTCCAGCAAAGACCGAAAACGACTCAGAAGACCTGGTTTAGCGGCCTTCGCGCTGGGTCTCTTCATTCCAGGGTCGTTTTTCAGCAGGTCTATCATTAGAGGCTTGGGATTTGGGACGTTGTGACTGGTGAATTCTGGAACCAATGGATTTTGATTGTGGAGTTACAACGTTTGTATGACGGTACGGGATCTCATTGGCAAGGGACAATTTTCCACAGGCACATTGTTCGGGCCAAAAGTTCGGGTATCCTCCATATGACCATCACTTGGTGAAGGGGCTCAACAGCAATCCGGCTGCCTGATGCAAATTGTGATCTGATGCTCCTGCTCATACATTCCAGTGGTGCAGGGGCTGGTCTTGATGTGGTGCGTATTCACCTCTATGAAACTAGACCATCAACTGGATTTTCGGTGGGTCCTTGGTTCTTGGGTATGCCCCTTGGAGAGAATGTTGACAACTTGAGCACCCATCCACCACCCTTGCTCTGTTTTATTTTGATTTTGAAATATATATATATATATACAATTTTGAAATATATATATATATATAACATATATATAATATATATAATATATACATTCATAAACCGGTGCACCCCTATCAGATCTTGGGCTTCTCTTTACGCTTGCGGCATGTGGCTCTCCTAGTCTGCCTGGTTTCCTGGCACTGGCCAGGTGGATGTGTGGGCCATGGGTGTGATTATGTACGGCCTGGCGAGTGGTCGCAGCCTCAGTGAACTCAGAATGAACTGCTTGGCTTTATCCCATCTATATCCATCAAAATAATCCATCTATATCCATCAAATCCCAGAATTGAATGTTTTTCTTCGAAAGGACAGACAATGGCCAGAGAACATCCCCATGTGTTGCTGGGGGTACTGGTTACCTTCAACATATCCTCATAAAGTGGTTGGTCTCGCAGTCTCATACTCCACTTCTCGCCAAAGCCACCTGATTCATTTGAGCAGTTTCAAAAAAAAAGTCCAATGAGATTTAGAAGGGATTTGACCACCATTTGTAGGGGCTTTCATCATCGAGAAGCATGGAATGTACCGAACTGCAATTGCGAAATGATGGTCTTGATGACTACAGGGGGTCACACCACCCAAATCCACCCATCTTGTGGATGACGATGCGTAATCCATGAACTAGGATCGCAATGAATCAAACATTATAAACATGGCCTCAAAACAGGATCTACTTAGCCAATTCCAAATGCGAAAGCTCATAATCTTCGAGAATTCCACAGGTTTCAAGGATTGAACATGTCGCCAGAGAGGGAAACTCCAGGCCGATTCCCGTTCCGAGATGAGAACGATGTCAGGCAGCGTGTCATGGTGTCATGGATCAGATTCGGATGTGGTTTTGTCTGAAATAGGGTGCACTAAATTTGATGGTTATCATTTTGGTGTCCATTTACCAGGTATTTTGTTGGAGGTATATATACTTCATTTTCAGAGAAAGTCATGTGAATGTTGAGTGCCCCCAACGCTTGGATTGATTATCCCATGGTCAAAACTCGATGAATTGCTCATATTTGGGGAAGGTCATCAATCCGTCAAGAGATTTATACACTGTACCCAGTACAAGAATTTCCTAATAGCGGGATGATGTGGGATGACCATAAATCATATACCATGTTTTGACCAGGCAGATCTAGTTCCATGCCTTTTACAACTGGTTCGGCGCAGGAACAAAGAGGTGCGCATTCCCAAGCGCGTGCACCCTGTGTGCGAGGAGGGCCGTTTACCGGGTGGCTTCCCAACTTGGGTTTTGTCAGACTGGCCGCCCAAAAAAGTTGATGTGGGTATGGGTCAATACCTATAGATACATTTTTAGTGGGTTATTCACATCCACAAATCCCAGCTATTTTGGGGTTCACCAGGGGTACAGGGTTTTGACCCATACCCATGGGCAGAATCTGCAGGAGTTCATCCGCAAGATGTTGGAGAAGAATGAAAAGCTTCGTATGAGCTCCTCAGAGGCGCCGAACGGATTTCTCGTTGACCAGGTATCGGAAGGACTAATTATACTAATTATTCATGGGATATGACCTCGCCAACTGGATGGGTAGGGATTTCTAGAACAAGCAAGAATTCCTTTTTTTTCCCAGCAAAATATGGATGAAAGGGGTCAACCAAAGGCGATGCGTATACTTTAGTACTTCAGTTTTTTGCAAGCAATCTGGATACACTAACAACCAGCTGAAAAAAAACCAGTGTATCTAAGACAGGCCCATGATATGTGGTAAACCCAGAAGCCTCCCATTGGGGGTGATTCGTGGAATCAATGTCTGGTAAAATTGGGATGGTTTCTGACATTTTGGTCTACCACATTATCAAATCAGGTCGGCACAGGAACATCACGGTGTGGTAAACTCAACCACACAGCCCAAAAGCAGCCCATACAGTTTCGGTTCGCCATCCCCCGGGAACCACCTTAGTGAGCCTTAGTGACTGTAGATCCCAGCACCTGACTGCGCGGGTGATTTTTATTCACCGGATTTCGGGGGGTTGGTGAAACTGGGTTTCGATGCCGTCCTATTGTAAAAGGGAGTTGGCGGGTCCCTAATTCTTAAGACATCCATGTTTGCTTCGGACATTCTTTGGTAAGCGCTTGTTTATACACTGGTTTTGCTGGTTGGTGGCACATTCCCGATTTCTGTTGTTTTTGAGCTGTTTATAGCACCGCTCTTTTGGGTGGGTGAGACACCAAACCTCCTGCCCGTTTTGACACGCCCTCATGTTGCCTGAATGGATCTCCAGTGAACGGAATTCCACACGTAACTTTGCCAGAAGAGAAACAAAAATACGAATATTTACTTGTGTTGCTTCTATTTCCATACTATCACCCTATAACTAATAGTTTTTTTTTTTGTGTTGTGTGTGTTGCTGGATATTTCCGTCCCACAACAAAACTTGTATTGCCAGGTCATGAGCCACGAATGGATTGCTGGCAAGTTTGGCAAGTCTTGGGGCCCAGGGATAGCGGTGGAAGCTATGGCAGGATCTTGCCCTCTGGTTATGACTAGCAGTTTGCCATGGGAAATGGCCCATTTATAGTGAATTTTCCCATGAACAATTTGGGTGGATTCTCCATATAGTTATGTAAACGTTTACCAGATGGTAAATGGAAGGGGATTTCAGTGGAACTTGGGGATCAACGGCATGACATGATCCCAATGACTTGACCCTTTCGAGATTTCTCGGGCGGCTGAACCGGGATATCACAGGCCTTGTGGTTTCAAAGATGTTTATTTTTTTTTCAATCCAACATGAAGTGCTGGAATTTCATGCCAAAATATGCCAAAATGCTTAAACTAGTAGAGTTTAGGTTGTTTTGGCTCTTAAGCCAAGTGTTAGTGTTGATTCGACACAGTGGGTCGCAGGGTGTCGGGGAAGTCTCCTGGGGAATCTGGAGAATGAGATCTACGTGTCGGTGTGTCTAGGATGGTGGTATCCTCCGGATTTATGGACATTAAACATCTTAACATCGGGAAAATGAGGTTTTAATCTGGAATTGGGGAGTATCCCAGTTTCCGGCACCAAACCCATGTCCTTCTCATCATGCTAGAGGAACCACTGATACAGAATCCCCAGAATTGGCCGTATTTGACGGTAAAAATAACGGCTTCAACCGCTGATGAATTCTTTCAAATCTTGGAGGCCCGTGGACGTTGGAGACAAGCCAGTTGAAGAGCCTCTGGGACTGCATGTTTTGTTGCCCCTCAGTCCCTTTCCCGCGTCCCAAGAAGGTCTGCTGAAACATTGACTGCAGGTCATGGATCTTGGCCACCAAGGTTGGCTCATTGATTTGTTGGTGATACTCTCCGGTACTCAAACATGGCAATGGAAAAATCTCCATTTATGGGGTTTCCCATTTGTAGATGATTATTCAGATTATTTACAGATGATTTTCCCATTTTATAGATGTTTTTTAGATGGGTTTTCCCAGCTACCAAAAACTCGAGGCCGGGCGATCGCGATGCTGATGGCATGGCGGAGGCGCAGTGCGGATGGTTAAGAAATGGGGGATCCAGCCGGGTATGATTGCTAATCCCACCAAAAATAGGATGGAAATCTCGCAGGTTGTGGTTGAAGATGACTGAAACTGGAGAATTCATATTGTGTTTCCCAACTGGTTGGTTTTTAAAAACCAGGGCTAGCCTTCACTTCTAGATATCGGGAGCTAGCCCCTCCGTATCCTTATTTCCATGATATTCCTACTGATCCCCTCTCTTTAATGTTAAATGCATTCATTTTTTTTTGGCCATGTGAGGGATATTTAATATTATAGTCGATATATTGCGTTATAAATTCCCATTTCAGGATAGTGTAACCATGGTCACACCCCCCTATTTATTAAGGGAATGGGATTCTTCGACTCATACCCACATTTTCTGGGTGGAAACCACTTGAGCCATCATTTGCATCGGCCCAGGCCGGTGTCAACGATGGCATCAAGGAACGTCGACAGGACGATGCTTGGGGGATGGACATGAACGGGTCAGTTCATAGCATATTTTCAGTTTCATTTGGTCAGATCATATCCCATCATATTCCGGTTTCGATTGGTGAAACAATGGGGTTGTCTGAGAATAGGGTACCCCCAGCTTTGATGGTTAATCAGATTCATCATCATTGCCAATTAAAAGTGGCCGCTTCGGGGAATACCTCACTTTCAGACAAACCGAAATCATATTGTTGTTGGGTAATATGATATACAAAACCAGGACAAAAGTTTTTCCTCTTGACTAGCTACTCCAACCCTCTCCCCTTAGACTCCCGACAGGTTGCATATGGATGACATGGCGGATCGCGGATCAGCTGGTTTGCTTTAAAAGAATTTTAATTTATTCCGACTTGAAATACGATCCGCCACGCAGGCCACGCGAAATGAGGATAATTGATCCGCGGCTGAGGATGATGATATTAATAAGGTACTAAACGGGAAAAACTTTCTTCCTCTTGATGAGCATTTTCCACTAAACAATTTTGTTTTTTGATGAACATTTCCGCTTCACACAGTACTTCCACTGGTGGCGTTGAAGATTGACGCACGCGCGTGAAATTTGGGGTCTTCTCTTCTAGGAAATGCTGAAGGTGTAAAATAAAGCAAGCATTTCCACTAAACAATTTTGTTTTTTGATGAGCATTTTCGCTTCAGACAGTGCTTCCACTGGTGGCGTTGAAGATTGACGCACGCGCGTGAAATTTGGGGTCTTCTCTTCTAGGAAATGCTGAAGGTGTAAAATAACGCAAACATTTTCCACTAAACAATTTTGTTTTTTGATGAGCATTTTCGCTTCAGACAGTACTTCCACTGGTGGCGTTGAAGATTGACGCACGCGCGTGAAATTTTGGGCCTTCTCTTCTAGGAAATGCTGAAGGTGTAAAATAACGCAAAACCAGGACAAAAGTTTTTCCTCTTGACTAGCTACTCCAACCCTCTCCCCTTAGACTCTGACAGGTTGCATATGGATGACATGGCGGATCGCGGATCAGCTGGTTTGCTTTAAAAGAATTTTAATTTATTCCGACTTGAAATACGATCCGCCACGCAGGCCACGCGAAATGAGGACAATTTATCCGCGGCTGAGGATGATGATATTAATAAGGTACTAAACGGGAAAAAACTTTCTTCCTCCTGATGAGCATTTTCCACTAAACAATTTTGTTTTTTGATGAATATTTTCGCTTCACACAGTACTTCCACTGGTGGCGTTGAAGATTGACGCACGCGCGTGAAATTTGGGGTCTTCTCTTCTAGGAAATGCTGAAGGTGTAAAATAACGCAAGCATTTTCCACTAAACAATTTTGTTTTTTGATGAGCATTTTCGCTTCAGACAGTGCTTCCACTGGTGGCGTTGAAGATTGACGCACGCGCGTGAAATTTGGGGTCTTCTCTTCTAGGAAATGCTGAAGGTGTAAAATAACGCAAGCATTTTCCACTAAACAATTTTGTTTTTTGATGAGCATTTTCGCTTCAGACAGTACTTCCACTGGTGGCGTTGAAGATTGACGCACGCGCGTGAAATTTTGGGCCTTCTCTTCTAGGAAATGCTGAAGGTGTAAAATAACGTGAGCATTTTCCACTAAACAATTTTGTTTTTTGATGAATATTTTCGCTTCACACAGTACTTCCACTGGTGGCGTTGAAGATTGACGCACGCGCGTGAAATTTGGGGTCTTCTCTTCTAGGAAATGCTGAAGGTGTAAAATAAAGCAAGCATTTCCACTAAACAATTTTGTTTTTTGATGAGCATTTTCGCTTCAGACAGTGCTTCCACTGGTGGCGTTGAAGATTGACGCACGCGCGTGAAATTTGGGGTCTTCTCTTCTAGGAAATGCTGAAGGTGTAAAATAACGCAAGCATTTTCCACTAAACAATTTTGTTTTTTGATGAACATTTTCGCTTCACACAGTGCTTCCACTGGTGGCGTTGAAGATTGATGCACGCGCGTGAAATTTGGGGTCTTCTCTTCTAGGAAATGCTGAAGGTGTAAAATAACGCAAGCATTTTCCACTAAACAATTTTGTTTTTTGATGAATATTTTCGCTTCACACAGTACTTCCACTGGTGGCGTTGAAGATTGACGCACGCGCAGTCTTCTTTCATGCTGAAGGTGTAAAATGCTTCCACTAACTGGATGGCGCTTCAGACAGTGCTGACTGGTGCGTTGAAGATGCACGCGCGTGAAATTTGGGGTCTTCTCTTCTAGGAAATGCTGAAGGTGTAAAATAATGCAAGCATTTTCCACTAAACAATTTTGTTTTTTGATGAACATTTCCGCTTCACACAGTACTTCCACTGGTGGCGTTGAAGATTGATGCACGCGCGTGAAATTTGGGGTCTTCTCTTTCAGGAAATGCTGAAGGTGTAAAATAACGTGAGCATTTTCCACTAAACAATTTTGTTTTTTGATGAACATTTCCGCTTCACACAGTACTTCCACTGGTGGCGTTGAAGATTGACGCACGCGCGTGAAATTTGGGGTCTTCTCTTCTAGGAAATGCTGAAGGTGTAAAATAACGTGAGCATTTTCCACTAAACAATTTTGTTTTTTGATGAGCATTTTCGCTTCAGACAGTGCTTCCACTGGTGGCGTTGAAGATTGACGCACGCGCGTGAAATTTGGGGTCTTCTCTTCTAGGAAATGCTGAAAGTGTAAAATAACGCAAGCATTTTCCACTAAACAGTTTTGTTTTTTGATGAGCATTTTCGCTTCAGACAGTGCTTCCACTGGTGGCGTTGAAGATTGACGCACGCGCGTGAAATTTGGGGTCTTCTCTTCTAGGAAATGCTGAAGGGGTAAAATAACGCAAGCATTTTCCACTAAACAATTTTGTTTTTTGATGAGCATTTTCGCTTCAGACAGTACTTCCACTGGTGGCGTTGAAGATTGACGCACGCGCGTGAAATTTTGGGCCTTCTCTTCTAGGAAATGCTGAAGGTGTAAAATAACGCAAGCAATTTCCAGAAACAATTTTGTTTTTGAATGAATATTTTCGCTTCACACAGTACCTTCCACTGGTGGCGTTGAAGATGATGCAGCGCGTGAAATTTGGGGTCTTCTCGTATAGGAAATGCGAAGGTGTAAAATAACGCAAGCATTTTCCACTAAACATTTTGTTTTTGCATGAGCATTGCGCTTCAGACAGTCATTTCCACTGGGGGCGTTGAAGATTGACGCGACGCGCCAGTGAAATTTGGGTATTTCTTCTTAGGAAATGCTGGAAGGTGTTGATGTAAATAACGCAAGGGCCATTTTCCACTAAAAAACAATTTTGTTTGTGATGCGCATTTTCGCTTCAGGACAGTACCTTAAAGGTGGCGTTGAAGTGACGCTACGCGCGTGAAATTTGGGGTCTTCTCTTCTAGGAAATGCTGAAGGTTTAAAATAATGTGAGCATTTTCCACTAAACAATTTTGTTTTTTGATGAACATTTCCGCTTCACACAGTACTTCCACTGGTGGCGTTGAAGATTGACGCACGCGCGTGAAATTTGGGGTCTTCTCTTCTAGGAAATGCTGAAGGTGTAAAATAATGCAAGCATTTTCCACTAAACAATTTTGTTTTTTGATGAACATTTCCGCTTCACACAGTACTTCCACTGGTGGCGTTGAAGATTGATGCACGCGCGTGAAATTTGGGGTCTTCTCTTCTAGGAAATGCTGAAGGTGTAAAATAACGCAAGCATTTTCCACTAAACAATTTTGTTTTTTGATGAACATTTCCGCTTCACACAGTACTTCCACTGGTGGCGTTGAAGATTGACGCACGCGCGTGAAATTTGGGGTCTTCTCTTCTAGGAAATGCTGAAGGTGTAAAATAAAGCAAGCATTTCCACTAAACAATTTTGTTTTTTGATGAGCATTTTCGCTTCAGACAGTGCTTCCACTGGTGGCGTTGAAGATTGACGCACGCGCGTGAAATTTGGGGTCTTCTCTTCTAGGAAATGCTGAAGGTGTAAAATAACGCAAACATTTTCCACTAAACAATTTTGTTTTTTGATGAGCATTTTCGCTTCAGACAGTACTTCCACTGGTGGCGTTGAAGATTGACGCACGCGCGTGAAATTTTGGGCCTTCTCTTCTAGGAAATGCTGAAGGTGTAAAATAACGCAAAACCAGGACAAAAGTTTTTCCTCTTGACTAGCTACTCCAACCCTCTCCCCTTAGACTCTGACAGGTTGCATATGGATGACATGGCGGATCGCGGATCAGCTGGTTTGCTTTAAAAGAATTTTAATTTATTCCGACTTGAAATACGATCCGCCACGCAGGCCACGCGAAATGAGGACAATTTATCCGCGGCTGAGGATGATGATATTAATAAGGTACTAAACGGGAAAAAACTTTCTTCCTCCTGATGAGCATTTTCCACTAAACAATTTTGTTTTTTGATGAATATTTTCGCTTCACACAGTACTTCCACTGGTGGCGTTGAAGATTGACGCACGCGCGTGAAATTTGGGGTCTTCTCTTCTAGGAAATGCTGAAGGAGTAAAATAACGCAAGCATTTTCCACTAAACAATTTTGTTTTTTGATGAATATTTTCGCTTCAGACAGTGCTTCCACTGGTGGCGTTGAAGATTGACGCACGCGCGTGAAATTTGGGGTCTTCTCTTCTAGGAAATGTCTCAGTGTGTACAAAAAATAACGTGAGCATTTCCACTAAACAATTTGTTTTGTTTGAGAATATTTTACGCTTCACACAGTACTTCCACTGGTGGCGTTGAAGATTGACGCACGCGCGTGAAATTTGGGGTCTTCTCTTCTAGGAAATGCTGAAGGTGTAAAATAACGCAAGCATTTTCCACTAAACAATTTTGTTTTTTGATGAGCATTTTCGCTTCAGACAGTGCTTCCACTGGTGGCGTTGAAGATTGACGCACGCGCGTGAAATTTGGGGTCTTCTCTTCTAGGAAATGCTGAAGGTGTAAAATAACGCAAGCATTTTCCACTAAACAATTTTGTTTTTTGATGAGCATTTTCGCTTCAGACAGTACTTCCACTGGTGGCGTTGAAGATTGACGCACGCGCGTGAAATTTTGGGCCTTCTCTTCTAGGAAATGCTGAAGGTGTAAAATAACGCAAAACCAGGACAAAAGTTTTTCCTCTTGACTAGCTACTCCAACCCTCTCCCCTTAGACTCCTGACAGGTTGCATATGGATGACATGGCGGATCGCGGATCAGCTGGTTTGCTTTAAAAGAATTTTAATTTATTCCGACTTGAAATACGATCCGCCACGCAGGCCACGCGAAATGAGGATAATTGATCCGCGGCTGAGGATGATGATATTAATAAGGTACTAAACGGGAAAACACTTTCTTCCTCCTGATGAGCATTTTCCACTAAACAATTTTGTTTTTTGATGAATATTTTCGCTTCAGACAGTGCTTCCACTGGTGGCGTTGAAGATTGACGCACGCGCGTGAAATTTGGGGTCTTCTCTTCTAGGAAATGCTGAAGGTGTAAAATAACGCAAGCATTTTCCACTAAACAATTTTGTTTTTTGATGAGCATTTTCGCTTCAGACAGTACTTCCACTGGTGGCGTTGAAGATTGACGCACGCGCGTGAAATTTTGGGCCTTCTCTTCTAGGAAATGCTGAAGGCGTAAAATAACGCAAAACCAGGACAAAAGTTTTTCCTCTTGACTAGCTACTCCAACCCTCTCCCCTTAGACTCCTGACAGGTTGCATATGGATGACATGGCGGATCGCGGATCAGCTGGTTTGCTTTAAAAGAATTTTAATTTATTCCGACTTGAAATACGATCCGCCACGCAGGCCACGCGAAACGAGGATAATTGATCCGCGGCTGAGGATGATGATATTAATAAGGTACTAAACGGGAAAAAACTTTCTTCCTCCTGATGTATGTATTCCATTGAATTTTCTGCCCAATAGAATTTTATGAATCATATCATCATATCCCATAATTCACATCATAATATCCCCATGATCTCTTAGCATATTTAGCTACCCTTTGGTAATTTAGCAGTTCACTATTGAAAATGGCCATTTAGTTCGTTGATGCTCCTGAAAGTCATGGCGACAGGAGCTGATCCAGCGCATGAACCGGGAGGCCGACGTGCGCAAGGGGAACATCACCAAGTGGGGGCCCCAGGGATTCTGTGGGTAGTAACCTGTAGTAACCCTAAATCCGCTTAGTAACCCTAATAAATCCCAGTAAATCCACCAAGGACCGATCATTTTGGAATGAGATGTCAAAACCGAACAACAATTTGTCGACCAATTAGCTTGTTGCGAAGACATCCGAAGACATGGCCATCATTCCGGAGGCATTTTTTTGGGATGGTGAACTGGCAGTGTGTCAAAACCTTGTACCCCTGGTGAACATCAAAATAGCTGGTAAATGGATGTTCATCCCATTAAAAATGGTATTAATAGGTATTGATCCATACCCAACTACAGGGTTTTAGTTCGTGAACTGATGTGTTCCGAGGGTTCCAAACAAATGACAGCCACCTTTGGGAGGATGGGAGCTTTCCCGCAGGTTCTGATAGGGCACAACAGGACGTTCAGAGTAAAACCCAGTGCAGTCTTGCCCACAAGCCTTGTTTGCCGTGGTTCATTTGAGCTTCAACTGGAATGGGTATGGCCATATGGTACCGATGTACAGAACCACAACATTAAACAACTATCCAATTTCGGAGCCAATCAGCTTTTGAAAACGTCAGTTCAAACGAGGTTTCTTAAGATGGCACTACTGCGATGCCCAAAACCCTGTGCCGAGGAAGCAGCTGCAAAATCACAAGCACAAGAAATTCGTGGTGGCGGACAAGATTGTTGCTTGGCTTCAATTCAGATATCCCGCCCACAGAGATGGAGGTATGGGCTCAAAACCGCACCATGAATGTATCAACTCTTGAGGCGCTTCGCTATCATTTTGAAACCATTTCAGTGATATCTTAACCCCAAAAAAGGGAAAGATGCAATGGGCACTTCTCATTGACCGTGTTGGATACCCTGCATGAGATAGTCTAAGATGGTCGGTCAATTGGTATGTTTGCCATCGATATCCTTTTTTTCATTTGCTATACCCCAAAGATACTCCGGGTGTTGAATGACCATAGCGCATGTTGGTTGTCATCACCCGAGGTGCAAGGTGGTAAGGCCTCCTATGAGTGGTGGTCTGAGGACCAGGTTGGACCCGGGTTGAGCGGAAAACATCGTTTTGGTTGATGGTAACGTATGCTGTTATGTATAGATACGTGTATTCGTATATACATGTATTCGTATATATATGATATACACACAAAACAACTGTGTATATATATATATATCAATACCAAAAGAAAATGACAAATTGGAAACCTGGAAAAAATGTGGAACACATCATCTTTACCATCCCGGAAACACCTTTATTTTTTTTGGTTGCTGTAATATGCCCGGGAACCCATCCAACAGCAAGCCTCCAACATTTTGGCCCATCGCAAGGTACTGCAATGCGGTGCAACGTGATGTAAGGTAAAGGAATGTGTTTATTTTAAATACACATATATGTATACAGTATATAAAAAAGGCAGGCGTACTCAAAGATAGTGTGTCACATACAGTACCAACTTTGATATGGTACTACCAGGTTTCAGAGGAAATGGACTACTGCCCACTTGACAATGCAGTTATGGATGAAACAGAAACAGGGTCAGGATGATCCCGATAGATGTGTTGTTGTTTTTTTTTCCCCCGTTTATGTAGTAAAAACGACCAGACGTTTGAACCCCTTGAACCTCTCAAGAATCAGAAAGTTGTTTTTGGTCGTAGAAACGATCTGTGAATAGACTTTGTTCTAAGGGATTCAACCACCCCCCCCATTTCGGTGCTCCCAAAGTTGCTTCGGAAAAACCACCGCAAGGCCAAGAAGGACAAACTCTTGGACTTCGAGAATCTGGCCACCGCCCCTAAGGAGCTGAAGACCAGTTTATGTGATGCATTTTAAAGATTTTTAAACATTATCTTATCATTATCCCATTAGAATCAGAAAAGATCCCGTTCAACGACAAATTTTCATATCCCATTTCTATTGGAATTTCACTGTCATTATTGTCCTATGAAAAATCCCATGGATCGATGGATTTTAGTATCTTCATTATCCCATTACATCCAATTCTTACTGATTTTAGTATCATTCTTATCCCATGATGGGCCCCTTCTTATTGATTTCACGAGTATCATGGGATCACATTAAAACCGCTCATTGGTTTTAATATCCTTCTTCTTCCATTATAATGATATTCCATTATTATTGGTATTAGTATCATTCTTATCCCATCATATTTTGTTTGTTGTGGTACCCTTCCATGCAGTACATTGACAACAACATGATCCAAACGATATGGAATTGACGGTTGTTTCCTGTTTGGAAAAGGATCTGCAAAGGGTGGTTGTTTTCCATATCTATGTTCATCTAATGGAGGGTATGTACATTTACGGGCATTTAGGGATCCTTTCTGCTGAGCTTTCTTTTCAGTGAGAGCCGAGACTTGTGACCAACTTGGGAATGATCAAATTAGGACTCCTTCAATATATATGCATGCATGAACATACGTACATGGTATATAAACGGCTGGGCGGTGAACAAGCAAACTAACCAGCAATCAAACAAACACAGAATATGTCTCTATGCTCACACAATACGCACAACTTGATCGTACATGCTGATTACAGCTGCATGTGACTGTATGTGCATACTAATATAAGTATGTATACATATATAGAGATAGAGGCAGGCATATATAGATTCACTAGGTAGTTGTGCACAGATTTTGTTGACTTTGTTGGCTAGCCAGCTATACAAAGACCCTTGAGGTGGTCAGAGGGCCTGGGCGGCCTGCGTTCCTCAAATCTCATGCTTTATGTCATGATCTTGCCATGAACATGGTCATATTTTGGAGTGAAATCGCTGATTTCAGAGCCATTTGTTGAGTGTTTTTCATGGATGTGTGTGATTGGGGTATACCTCAAATAGCTATCTGAAAATTTAGGGGTGCCCTATTTTCTGCTTCCGTCCCAGGAGGACCTTATGGATTTGGCGATGTTCCGCAAGACCCTGGTAGAGTCGCTTGCTGCGATGCTAAGAATGGTGGATTTTTGTCAGCCAAAATGTGGTAGTTAAGTAATGAAAGAAAAGCTGGAACCTCGTAACCATGAATCACTTGTTGCTCTTCAAAATCGGGATTTCATGTATTTGGGATATGGGATATGCCATTGGGATATGGATATATTTTGTGATGATCATGTGGAGAAATGGGGGATTTCTGCATCTAACCAGCAAGTCTGTAGTGGCCGCAGATACCACAAACATGGCAAGCTGGTAAATCCCCGAAAACTCAATGCAGGTTTATAGCTGGGAAATCTTCGATCAATGGTGGATTTTCCACTTCGCTATGTTAAAGTACCAGAGGGCATTCTTCTAATTGGAGACTATGAAAAACATAATTTATGGCTTTTGGGTACCATTTTGGGAAAACCTTGGACCGGCTGCTGAGCTGGGGTCGAATGGGGATATCATCCCAGAAACTCTGGTGGGCTGGAGTGGATCTGTGATTTTCCAGGTTCCATGGAGTAGGAGTTATCATTCGGGTGTCAGACCATTCAACCAAAATTGGTCTGGATTTTTTCCCCAACAGCGTAAGCTAATGGGGTCTTCAGCCCAGAACAGCTCCGGTGTGCACTGGTGCAGGCCCCGGGTCAGGTTCAACAGGGTTCCGGAGAAGGTTTCGAAGAAGGTCTGGGAGGCTTTGGTGCAGAGCCAGGTCAGGTTCAACAGGGTTTCGGAGAAGGTTCCGGAGAAGATTCCAGGAAGCCTTGGTGCAAAGCCAAGTCAAGTTCAACAGGGTTCCGGAGAAGGTTCCGGAGAAGGTCGGGGACGCTTTGGTGCAGCCAGGTCAGGTTCAACAGGGTTCCGGAGAAGGTTCCAGTGCTTGGCTTCGCAGCACGCTTCAGAAAGATTCGTAAACATAAAACGTTGCGGCTGTTGGGGATACCAACGAAGCTTATTGGCATTACTGTACCAGGACTTTGGCTGATTTTATGGATAATTTTCACTCCGCAGTGAAAGAAGAGTTGGGTACTTCACCCACAGAATATGACGGCGGTATGCCATGCTTCTTGAAGCGCCCCTGGTGCCTAAGGCACAACATCGATCCCAACCAGTTTGGCGTCGGCAAGGCGGTGGATGAGTAATGTGGGATGGGGGATTTTTTTGTGGAGTCATCCGGTCGATGATCTTCTGCAAGAGGAATGTGAAAAGATCCAATTGATCCACTGTTGCCAACCGCCAACACTGATCCGATTCTATTCGGTTTGCAAGCCGAAGGGTGAAGCAGGATTTCGATTTCCCACACGCCACTGCCAAAGAAAGGTCACACGGGTTGCTTGATTTTTTAAATGGATGTCCCGCCTTGAATTTGCCTTACGCTCAAGATCCTTTCGATCCTTTCCTTCATGGATCATGGTGAGTATATTTCCCATATTCTTGCTATTATCTATTTTCAGTCAGAGCACTCCAAATGTTTGCGTTCCCCAGTTCTTTCACTATGTCAAACTTTTCCTTTTGGTGCCAACATCACTTGAAATGGTGGTTCAATAGTACTTGGCCCCCCAAATTCATGTGATGTTTGTAGCTAGATCATCTGGTCGGAAACCTATGTATGTACTGGAATGGCCCACCTACGGTCAGTGTGGAATCATATGCGCAGGATATATGTGTATTTACTGTATATATATATAATAATACGATCCATAGTATATGTATATACATGCATTGTATATATATATAAATATGTATGGACAAAATGTCATACATAGAATTCTAATGCATGACTTCTCGTTAATCGATTTACAGATGTCGTGTTCTCGAGTTGTCGAGGCCAAAGGCATTGAACAATTGGCCAAGGAGGTGGAAACTGGCGCCAGCAGGCGGAAAGAGATGGAAGTTCGTTCGCGGAAAAGAGAGATGTCGATATCTTGATTTAAGCGGATAAAGATCAACTATGGGGATATACTATTGGGATATGTTATGATTGTTATTGGCGATATGATGATCATGTCCAGAGGGGGGATTTCAATGGAGATCGCAGGGAAAATGGAACATCAATGGGCCAGTAATAGCTGGGCTATTGAGCAGCAATCATTTGGATGGGGATTTCTTTATTGTGGCTTTGCCGTTTAGAAATGGATTCGTATAAAACATTGCAAAAACCCAGCATTTTAAGTGGGGCCATGATGGGATACCATGGGGATATAGAAATGGATGTTCCCAACCATATTATGATGCGGGGTTTTTCAACACGAGGCTTTGAAACCAAACCATTGGATTTGGGAGAAAGTCAACTTGAGCACCAAAGTGGTTGTAAGTGGGGTATGTGTCCTGCATTTACTACAGCATGGAGAACCAAGCACTTCCAAAATGGGAGATTTCTCGATGCCAGAAGTGCTGGTCCCTTGGCTCCTTGGGTACCCACCCTTGAATCCACGAATTTCATCATAAACCACCCATGACTGGGAATGGTAACCATAGAACCTAGTGACATGGTGATGACTGGGGGATGGTTTATGATTATGGCATTGTTAAAAAATCCGCATGAAAGAGGAATCCCCAAATAGATATTGCGCAGTTTCTTTTTTGCCAGGACATTGTTGATGCTGTCTACACTAATGGGTATTATTATTTACCCACATTAGTGGTGTTTCTTCTTTTTCCATCTCGTGGTCTCGTGGGGCTCGACCCCTCGACCGGACCTTGCATGGGACTTTTTTCACCAGCTGTGCCTTTGTCAAAGCTCTCCGTTGGTTGATTACTGTATACAATATATATATAAATATACACACTAGTATATGCATATACATTATGTATATACATATGTGGGCAAACTATAACGACCTCACTGCAACCTCACTGGAATGATGGTTAATAGTCAATAAGACGAATCATCCCCAAATGGCCTTGATTCAAGTTTGTGGAATATTATAATTTACCCAAGAATATATATAACGAAAACAGGCACTGCAAATGGTTCCATTGAGATTAAATTATGGACTTATCTATGAAGAGGATGACAACACCTATCAGAGCTCAAGCTCATGCAAGCTAATTCAAAGTTCCGGAACCCGCTGTAAGCCCGCTTGTGGAAGCTGTTTACGCGAGAAATAGCAGCCGCTCGGGCATTCTGATTCTGCACAATGCGAATTGACATGAATTTAGTTGAAATATATCGACCCCTGAGCCCCCACTACATGTAGCATAGCAGGTAGGTATAGCGTAGTGTAAATAGCGTAGCTATGAGTTCCAATTCAAACTCCAAATAGTTTTTCCTTAGCATGTCGCTCTTGCGCGACATACTGTACATTGAGTATCATAACATACCTAGAAGCGTTAGGTATGTTCAGTGCCTAGGGTTTATTCCAGGGTTTTAGTTGTCCCTTATCCAACAACCACCGGGTTCGGGTCATAACTAACCGCTGGTTGACGTCCGTGGCTCAAGTGCCCAAAAAGGTCGGGTGCTTGGTTTGTTTAATGGGGTTATCGAAGGATACCGTGGTTGGTTCCCTTGTTCGGTCCCCTGTTTTCACTGGTTATCAGCCGTAGGTGCTTTTTGGGGAAGTCTAATCCTTCGATAACTTCTGGTTTAGGCCCCTTTATTTTTCCCGCACTTCCGTCATTGACCGTGCATGCCCTCAGATAGCTCCGAAAGGGTCGCTGCTGATTACAGCGCGACACCGGAAACTCCAGTGGAAGGAGCCAACGCTCTAGGGGAAGCAGAAGGTGTTGAGAAGTTTAATCCACCAACTGCTGAACCGGGCGCCGCGGCCTCCCGAAACTGGGCGGATCTATCTGAGGATATTCTGTCGCCCGTGCTGTCTTTTGGTGAGGCGCCCACTTCTGCAGATCGAGCCCAAGGACATCTGACAGACGTGAAGGAAGAGCTCAGGAGAGATCAAGTTCGGGTGCTGTGCCTTCAACATTTTTCTTGCCTGACGGGGTCGCCGACGAAAACGTCGCGACGGATTTTGCGAGCCACGTTTCAGACCCTGCCACAGCATTGAACATCCCCGAAGAAGTCCTTGCAGAGGCTGCCTTTACAGACTCAGGTCCAGTGGAGGAAGAAGGTCAGAACAGTTTTGCATTTCCGTCGATCCTGTCAGAACAAGTGCAAATTGAAGCAGCCGACAATTTTTCGGTAGAGGTCGCTGGTGACAATACCGCGACGGACAAGGTTTCTGGTGAAATCACTTTTTCCGAAGTTTCTGGATTGGAAGGCGCCAATAACAGTCTGGAGCTTGTCAAAAAGGAAGAAGATCAACAGACACTTGGTCCAGCCTCTACTGAAGCCGTCATTGAAGCTGCCCATCAAACTGAAGGTACTACAACAACCAACTTAGGTGAAGACGCAATTGTTGCAGCCGTTGTCAAAGCTGAAGTTGACCCAAAGAGTCCTGAAGCTGACGCTTCTGACATTGCAGCATCCGTCCAACCTGAGACCCAAAGCTCAGGCCATAGTGTAGAGCCAGTTGCAGTAGGATCCCAAGAAGCATCCGAACCAGCCTGTGCATCCGCTAAGCCTGAGGTCGTTGACACAACCGTTGTCACGACAGGTAACCCAGGTGTAAGTGTAGACTCAGCCCCCTTAGGAGCCCCTGAAGTTTCTAATCCAAAAGCTGAATCCACTGAACCTGGGGTCGCTGACACTTCCGTTGTCGCGACATCCAATACACAACTAGACACATCTGTTTTTGTTGCACCACCCACTAGTCCCAACTTAGTTGAGCCTGGTGTTGAGCCCATCCGTACTGGTCACTCTCCCTCCGCTCCATCTGCAGGTCCAAGACAACGCACTTGACAGAGGAGTTCACGCGGTGGGCAGACCACACGAAACCAGGAAGCCATCCGGGCTTGGTTTAGTGACCTAGATACTTTTAGGGATTGGTTGTATCAAAATACAGGTGGGAGGTCAGGTCGTGGTTTCTGGCTAGGCCGATATCTTTTAGACGGTGTTGACACTGACCAAAAGTGGCAAGTCGCTAATCATCAAGCCATAGCAGATTATCTGACCGTAACCCAGTGTTTAGTCCTTACATTTAACTTGTGGCCTGAATACGAAAATTGGGCCCTTGCAAACGGCCTGGACAGGAGACGTGGTATTGGACACGGCCGTAACGCAGTTGAAAAGGGCGTACTACCCCCAAAGCGTATCATTAACTTGAACATTCTGGGTAGTGAATTCCCTCCTCAAGAAAGCTGGGATTACTATAATAGGTACGTAGGCCCAAACGCCCCTGCGAAGCCCAAAGCTCGGGCCGCTGCCCCGGCTTCGGCTGGTGGCGCGGCAGCTACACGACCGCCAGAGCCCAAAGAGCCGCCAAAAGCTGCATCGCCAAAGGCACAGCAGCCGAAGGCACCAGCCTCTGGCTGGCAACCAACTTTGCGTGCTGCGGATCAAGTTGTACAGCAAGCCGAGTTTAGCAGTGTCCGCACTTCATCATCCGTCCGCCCGTTGCCAAAGCAATCGCGAGGGGTCGTTGCTCCCAAAGAGCGCGACGCAGCAGTAGTTTCATCTGAGGGTTCCGGTAGTGCTCCAACAACTGTAGCAGCCCCAAAAGTCCCCAAAGATAAACCTGTTGTGTCAAGGCCCTCGCCACCACCACCAAAGCAGCCGCAAGGGGTCGCCGTTCCCAAGGAACGCGACGCAACAGCCGTTGCATCCGAGGGTTCCAGTAGTGCTCCAATAAGTGTAGCCACTCCGAAAGTTCCTAAGGTTGAACCTGTTGCGAAGCCTTTGCAGCCGCCAAAACATCAGCAAGGGGTCGCTGTTCCCAAAGAACGCGGCACAACAGTGATTGCAGCCAAAGCATCCGGTAGTGCTCCATCAAGTGCAGCCGTGCCTGAAGCTCCAAAAGCTGATCCTGTTGTAAATCCCTTGCCAGAATCTAATAATCCCAAAGGAGTCGTTGTTTCCAAAGAACACGACACATCAGCCACTGCGCAAAAGGTTTTAGATACTACCCAAATTATTGAAGTAGTCCCTAAGATTCCCAGTAGTCCAGCTGTTGTAAACCCTTTGACTAAGGCTAAGCTCCCATCACCCCCATCATCACCACCACCTGTAGTCCCTTCTAATATTCCACCACCGCCACAGCATCCGCCGCCAACACCAGAAGAGCTCGCCGCGCGAGCTCCGGCTTTTGCCAAGGCGCGCGAGACAGTGGTAGGGAATCAGGAGGAAGAGGAGGAAAGTTTTGAGGTTGAAAGTGAGGAGGAGCCAGCACCTGTTGCCAAAACTGCATCTCCAAGGGAGAGGCACACCAAAAGAAATAGGTCCAACCCACCTTTGCCTGTTAATCTTTTGTCTAGAGAAGCCAGGGAGCAGATTGAGCTTGCTCGTGAGCTCCGTGCAGCTGGTTATCCAGACGCCAGAATAGATTCTTCAGGAACTTGGGTGCGGGTCGCCGGACCTTCGGTCGCGACAGCTGCAGAGCGTCCAGTTGCTCATCCTGCGGTAGTTCCAGGAACTGAAGCTCGAGACGTTGGGGACATTGACCCTTACGAGCTGAGCTGGAGGACGCCGCCTGGCAGAATCCATCCTTGAGCTCCCGTCGGGTTGTGTTGGTCACCCCAAACTTACAGTCTTCGGACATTGTAAATCTGACCACACGTGATCCTGACACCGAGGAGGAAGGCACAGAAGACCCTGCACTGGCATCACAAAGATTTCAAGAGACTAGTAGGAAGTTCATTGCAACGGCTAGTGCTGAGCCCATTGAAGCCGACCCAGTAACTTTTGGATCGCGACCACCTAAAGTGCCACCCCCAAAGAGGCAAAAGGTAACCATAAAAATAACCTCAAGGGATTATAAAGACCCAAAATCAGCAGCATCGTCGCCAAAAGACACCTCAGAGCCCTCACCTAGGTTCCCACAGG